CTAAAAGCAACGCCATATGTTATTTTAAGAGCGATAAATTTACATTCAAAAACAGTAGAATTGGCTATTTAGTAACAAGAAAAGCTCAACCCTTGCACTTTAGCACTTCAAGACACATTCACATCATACATCTAGGTATGTAACTCATTAAAGCAAACCTCGATCTTTCATTAAGTTAAACCAAAGCTAATTGGAGCTTACCTCTTAAACTTCGATTGAAATTTAAAATACTACAGTTAAGCTTTACTTAGCCTCGAGCTAAAACTTAAGTAGATATTGAAATAGTTGCCTTTATTCAACAAAAATGATTTTAAGAAAAATCATTGAACGTTTTTATACTCTAACTATAGTGTTTAGATAATTTTATCAATTTAACATTTTCATACTGCATTGTTTAACATTTATACTAAGATTAGCAATTTTCAAGGTCTATTTGAATGATTTTCGTTTATTTCATCGCAGTAGAAATAAATAAAAAATACTACATTTTTTTTTGTTTTAATTACCGAGACTTGTCATTTTATGCCAAACATTTTTCAACCAATTGCATGGAGTGTTTTATTTTTCTTGTTAACCACGATTACACAAGGACTATGATTGCATAAATAATTCTTAAAGCAGAAAAAAAAAACTAAATCATTTAGTTTCTGGATGACTAAACAAAAACACGAACTTAATCGTAGTTACGATTGACTATAGAATTTATAAAATATTGTAAAACATGGCGGGCAAGATTTTTTTTTTATTTTAAATAATTCAAGAATACTCAATTGAAATAATACAGTTTTTAAGAATAATGCTTCTGATATTTCAGATTCAGGGTATTAGATTGTGAAATCAGCAAATGAAATTGTTAAATTACATATGAAGATTGTACGTGTCTCCTGCGACATTCAATACAATCTGTATGCGGTCAAATTATTCCCACAACAAGGTTTTCTCATTCATTGTGACTCAAGGATAAATGGCAGAGTTCATTTTTGTGGGTCTTAGTATCAATCCAACCGCAAAAAAAACCAATAATATTTATTACATACCTGTATCCAACTCATATAATTATTATAGTTAGAAAATTTAATGCTTTACTGACTTAGACTTGTTGAAGACCACATAAAAAGTCGGTTCACTTGGAGTATACGCATCTATTTCGATCGACGGGCGTCACAATACTTATCTGTAGTTAGTGTCATTAAATCATGAGTACATATAGCGTTATATTTTAATTTATGCCCTAGATGTAATATATTGGAATAGGAAAAATTTTAGATTAAATATATGATAGTTATTGTGTTCAAGCAATTTGGAAAATTTGATTCAAGGTCTGTCAGACACTCGGGGGATATAAAAAACAACAATTTGAAGGACTCCTGAAGAACATCCGAAATGTTAATAAACCAAGCAAACAAATTGTAAAATGATATCAAATAATGGGTCTATCCTGGATCCCAAAAAATCAAGAACAAATATTTAATGACTGGATAAAAGGAACGAGTAATTTCACCATCACCATCGCCATTAACATGTACACAATTAAAATATCATTAAATTTCTTTTTCTTTTCTTTTTTTAAAGCGTATCGTATTATCATTTCACCCTTCGATCTAATCTAACCGCACCCAAAACAACTTTCACATTTTTTAATTTACTTCCTTTCGAGGTTTTACGGTAAAAAAACGTTAGCAAATAAATTAATAATAGACAATTCTTCGTTGTCGACTAAAAAAATATTTGCTAGTTTTAATAGTCAATAGCAATTAATTTTTGTTTTATGGATGTAGTTGTGCGAAACTTGAGGTTTTATTAGTGTAGTTTAAAAAAATGTGATTGCATGATTTTCAAGTTTTTATTTTTCAATTAATTAACTATTAATAACATTATTAATTTATTTTACTTAAAACTACAGTGATTACATCGAAATGCTAAGATTTAATTTCATACACTTAAATTTGTTTTTTTTTTTTTTTAATTAATAAATATATATTAATAAATGTTAATATATTAATTTGGGTTTCATCATAGATATTCTTACTAACAAGTCATCCTTATGCTATTAATTTTTGCATAATTATATGTTTAAGTCTTTTGTTTTTAGTAAAGGTTTCTTTTGACACAACTTCAGTTAAATAATCAATAATAATTTATAATTATTAAATTTACCATGAAAATAACAAATAATTTATTATTTAATAAAATATTAATTTAAATTTAATCATTTTTAGTCATAATACATACTTTTAAATATACAGGAAGATATTATTGTATATATTTTCTATATATTTTTTCCTGTATTTCCCTAAACAATTCATTGTTAGTTCATTGTATACAACTTTTTTCATAACTTTCATAAAGCAGCAAATTGTTATCCGTCCATTGCAATTTATTACGAAAACAACACCCCCAAAGCGACAGCTATATTTTAGGTACAGCCCAGGTATGTACAATTAATTAAAAGCTGACACATTTCTATGACTATAGGTATATGTTTTTACCTAAATCAACTTTTACGCTAAAAAACTGAATTACTTGCCCACTGTTTTGTAAAGTGTACGAAACGTATATTTCAAAAGAGAATAATTGAGTAAAACAAAGTAATCCAAGAAAAATGTTGTAACTCTCTTAAAATTAAAAAAAAAGAATATTATTTTTAAGAAAGAAATTTTAACTGAAATCTAAAAGTTATTATTTTTTATATTAAAACACACGAACTGGTAGATAGTAATAGTAAATTTCATAAAATTTAAAATGAAGATTAACAACTATAATTTGTAAAATTCCCACGATCATAAAAAAAAACATTTATAAAATTTTTACACATTTTCAGCTTCTGATTATTTTTTTGTAATAAAAAATAATATTAATAAAAAAAATATCTCAAGTTATAAATATTCTATGATTTAAATGTTTATTTTTAAATACATGAATTGTACTTAACAAACACAATATTTAAATAATTATTACAGGTATTACATTACTGTGAAATTTATATAGACTTAACATTATTCAATAATGTAAGCATCGTATTGAATAACAAGTTTTTTGCATTATAATATATATATATAAATATAATGATGGTAACACATTTAATATAATATTTTTTCTCGGTTTGTGAACGTAAAAAGTCATATTTTCATGTATAGAATTCTTTTGAAAATACCAACATGGTGATAAAATTAATTCACTGAATAATATTACTTCGCTAAAAGCACCTGTGAGTCGTTGCAAGTTATTTACTCAGAAAACTCATAGCTTAGTAAAAATTTAGAAGTCCATTGGAAGAAATAGTGATAAACGTAACACAAAGCGTTTAAATGAAAAAAAAACTAATTTTTTTCTCTAATGATTAACATATGCTTTTTTTTTAATTATGTAGTGTATTTAAAAAAAACGACAGTGTCATTTATTCAATGTTATTCGGTTACAAAAAAAGAGTGTCTCGTATAGACAGGTATAGATAAAAATGTAAAATAATATCTAAATCACTTTATTTTGTGAATAATAATGTGTCAAGACGAATCAGTGAAGACAATTGAAGCATACGAACAGTTCTTTTCATAAATATTATTAATTTTTTTTTATAGCAGGACAATACGCATTAGAAATAACGACATAATTTTAAGTTAAAAACGAAAAATGTTCTCAATACTTAATTATAAAATCAAAACCAAAAATATGGTACATTAAAAAATGTTTTTAAACATAATATTAATTACAACGTAAAACAATTACAATGTAAAAACAAAAATAATATTTTTCAAATTTTATATTTAAAAAAAAATTATGTAATAAATGAAGCAGTTATTTTCTTTTTTTTAGACAGCTTATAGCAGTAAAATATGTTTATATTTATATATTAAGTAGTATGACTATATTACGAATAGTTAGATCATTTTAATTGATAAACAAAAAGATTTTCATGTTAAAGCTCAATGATCTTACACGTCCGCATTGGTTGTAATCATTGTTTCACGAAAACTTTTTTCAAATCTTTGAACTATTTTGTTTCACGCTTATAATTCCTATGTATTGTTCAAGAAAGTTTTCGTTAAACTTTTATCAAGATCCAAACATCGCTCTATGAATTACTTTTTTTCTATTTTTCTCAAACATAATCCTTATCCACATACAATTTGGGGGTACCGCACAAAGAAAAGTCTTATAGAAACAAAGCAACCCAGAAAACCATTTGATTTTAACAAGGGTTATTAAAATAATTTTACCTAATAATATTTATTTATGATGCACTAAAACTGACATTTCTAAACAAAAATTGTATGACATGAATTAGGATATATCATTATATATTTCCAATGATATAATCAAAATTTCATTAAGAAGGTTAATATATTTTTACAATTCATATTTTGGACAAAATACATATAAAAAATAAATGTAATAATATTATTATAAACCTTGTAAATAAATTTAGAAAAAAACAGCCATACAGCTCTGTAACGTAATATATAGAGTCATTATTTTGATAATCATTAATATCATTATAAAAAATCTATTTTTAAATATAAAAAAATATATAATACTATGCAAGTATAATTTAATTAATTCTAAATATGAGAGAAAATATTTTCTAAATCATATTTTGACAGTCTCAATAAAGTACATTAAATATTGAAAAACAACACTTACACAATTTAGTACTTAAAAATATTTTTCATTTTAGCTCGACATTTTTGTTATTCAGACAATCATAAATCTAGGTATAAGGGAATTATTTATTTTTTTCTGTTATTATGAAGCCTAATGTTCCTATCAACAACTCGTTATAAAAAATTTTAATAGAACTTTGTCAAAAATGGCAATTGTAATTTAACATTTTCAAATTTGATGCAGCCATTGTTTATTATTTGCGCTTCTAGTACTCACCTGTATTGAGATAGACTGGGCAAAACTTTTTTTATAAAAATCTGTAACAGACTTATAGTTCCTTTGTGCTTTATTTCATGTCCGTTCCTAATTTCTGAGAATTGTATTTTAATTTGTCTTACCTGTAAAGTGGGCAGCAACAAGTGTGCGAGATCTTGCTGGGTGTGCGCGTGCAACTGGTTGATGAGCGCCATAGTAGCCGCGGTGGAGGCAAGTGGCGGAGGTGGAGGTGGCGGAGCTGGATGAGCATGCGGATGCAGCCCTATAAAAGCGATCGGTGTAGCTCCCGGTGCTGGCGCCATGGCGGCTAATGCCAACATATTTTGCGACGGTCCCAATTGTTGCGGTAGACCCCAAGGCTGTACGGCTGCTGCAATCCAATGTGGATGAGCCACTTGATGATGCATGGCAAATTTTCCTTGTTCAATAAGTTGACCTGGTTATTTTGTTGAGGTCTCCATTCTTTGAGTTCTTATTATATCTACTGGATTACCTAAAAATTGACAAATGTGTTATAATTATAATTGAAATGTTTAACATAAAAATGAAAAACAAATTTTTTATTAAAATTATCAACCAATAAAAAATTATCGCCTTTTTATATTGTCATTAAGGCTAAAATTTATTTAAAACATAAAATTCAAATTCAAAAAATGTACATTATTCAAATTAGAAGCACAAAGATATGTTGTGCAATTCAGATCATGACTAATATTTATTCCAATAGTCATGATATGTTTATTCCTTAAGAAATGAACCAAGCTATATTGTGCATAATGTTTATGTAACTAATTATAGTGTTAAATTTACAGTACAAAAAACACTGGCACATAATAATTTATCGATGTCTGGTAGATAATGCAAAACAGAAAGATGGACGAACATAAACATTATAATAAGAAGTATTGGTATTTTCAATACTACGAATTGTTTCACATATTAAACCAAAACATTATCTAAGTTAAAATTGAAAAATAATAAAACAATAAATTTTCATATATACATAATTATATAGAAAAAATACTTAAAAAAATCTTAAGAATTTTGTTGGCATAAATTTAATAATTTTAAAGCTTTAATTGTCAGACAAACTAAATAACGAAATAGTTTCAATTTCCCAATCATTATAATTATTATCTAATTTTAGGTTTTATTTTAATGTATCCGGTTGGGTTACGCAGTTTCTTAAAAGTTTTTATTTTACAAAGTAATAAAATCAGAAACAGTTTGGAAAAGTTCTGTGAACAGAAAGGGATGAAAAACAATAATGAAATTATTTATACCGTTTATTTTAGTCGAGAATGACAAAAATATTTTCAATGCGAAGATCCTACCTGTTGGAAGTTTTCAGAAAACTATTACTAGTAGGTAAAATAATAGTTTTATTTAATTATTAAAGTTATTACATAACTTTTTGAATTTATCAATTATAAAGTATTATATTTGTTCATTTCTTATAGTATATAAAGGGCTCAATTTTATTTTTTCAGATAGCTAATTTATTGAATAAATTATGATCTAATTAAGAAAATGACTAATCGATAACTAATTTTGAATCAATATTTCAGAAGGTTTTAAATATTTTAAGTTATGACGAGGGGGGGGGTGCTGCTATAACTGCCTTGCTTTTCCTTCCACCAAGGTTTAAAAATGTCAATAACTTCCGAAATATTATCCTAAAAGATGTTTTCAACCAATAATATTATTAATTACATTATTTTTTACTTTATTGATTTGTTAATTAATTATATGTGTAGTAGCATACATTTTTAAAAACGAAAAAAATTGAAAAATAGAATAATTAAAAATATTTATTTTTCTTCAGCTTTCATTAATAATAATACATTTTTCTTGTTGCTTTTCAGTTTGTATAGTAAAATTAAATGTTTACATAATTATAACATAATTATCAATTTACGTTACACGTTGGCTGTTGTTATTTATTTTAATTTTAACTTTAATTATACATAGTTGTATATTAAATTCACTACATTGATAAAATGTATTGTTAAAAACTATAGTCATACTTCACCCATCAATCGTATGTTTTTTCAAAATAATATAATATTTCTTTCGATTTTTTTCATAATATATTAGCCATGTTGAAATTTAGTTTAAAGAATAGTCACTAAAACTTATATTTAATTTATATCGTACAATAATTTTATAGAATTTATATAGTTTTCTGTACTCTATGGCCTTTTTTTAAGTGGTAGATAAATTTAAATTTCCACCTATACGTTGAAATTCAATTTATTTATAAATAATGTAAATACATATTTATTGTGAGAAAAAATTATTCCTACGGGTAAACTTTTGTTTATTATTGTTACAATTGTTATTGTTTTTAATAAAATGTTGACTGGTGAATGACCACAAACGTATAATTATTTTTTGAGATATTAGCATTTGAAGATTCAGAAAATGAGAGGACGAGGAAGTGTTTAGCAACAGTCTATTGTTACCATAACACAAATAAGAATTTTTCTACGCTACACAACCCGCTCGCCTATAACTAAAAAATATAACAACCCAAAGAGAAATAATACAATACTGGTTAGCGACAAGTCAAAATTTGATTTAGGCCATTCTTCATTTAATACTAAATCTATAATAGGTTCTTACTTAACTTTTGAAAGTCACCCTAAAAATTTACACTTAGAAATAATTTTTCCTCGCAATAAACTTGATATTTACAATAGTTTAAAAATGTGAATTGAATGTTAATCTATATATTTTTTATGAAAAAATCATTATTTAACGAAAAAATGGAGGGTAATATGCTTAATAAATCACCCTGTAAATGAAATTAAAAGTTTGTTTTCCGAATCAGTCACCCAACACAAAGCTAGTGGCTGTTAGATTGCGCGTTGTTCAATCAAGGAAAACAATAGATTCTGGTTTACATCGTGATCCGTTCAATCTATTACAGTGTCGATTATGATTACAATGTTCATCTTTGTACGGTGATTGCAAAATAAATTATGCAGTTGTTGATTTTGGTGAGGACATCAAATAAGATTGTATCATAGTATCAGCCTGCTATTTCTATGATGTTTTCTTTGGGTATAATTTTTTCATCAAACTGACGGAACAGTATCTGTCTTTGTCTTTGGAATAAAAAAATATACGGATTATCATGTTTTTCTCTTCGTATAATAATTGTCTTATGTAAACAAAATTTTCTGCAATTATAATACTATAAAAATTCTAGCAATATGCTAGAATAAAATTTCTCTTTAAAAGTAGTTGCAATTGTTTTTTTATGAATACGTGCATTAAATGATAACCGGAATATATTTTGGTTTAAAAGATCTTTAGTGCCGTCAATTTTAAATAAAAGCAGATCTGAATAGTTTTGTAAAAATTTGATATCTTGTGTCGATTATGCTTATCAATTATTATTAGTTAACTTTGATTTATTGAATACATAAATAATTCGGACTCTAAAAGTCGTACAATAATTAACTAAAATTGTGACGTCTGACGATATTGTTTTACCGCGAGTTTTAAAATAAAATTCAGGAAATCATTGATATATTTTTTTTAGTCAAAATATATTTAGAGTAAATAGTTTAGATTATCACGTTTATGTTCAGTAAAAATACTGCTATAAATTTAATGCAGAAATCTTATTAAATAATGTCTAATCAACATAATTCATGTTTCCACTATTCGCAAATACCAGTTCGCGTGCATATTACACAGCCAGAAAAAGCATAGTACTTTAGTATAACACAGCTGGTGTTTATGCTCAAAATTAATTATATTTAAAGTTATTGACCGTAGCTTACAGTAACTTTTTACACTAACACGTCATTAAATATATAGAAACCTTAAGCGATTAATTAACTTATGTTTCCCTGGCCTACGGCGTTTCTATTGAAGCGAGAATAGTATTGACACAGGATTCGAAAATCAAATGCAAGTCAATAAAAAGACAATGGCAAAAATTTCGAATTATGTAATTTTTAGACATCACATGCGGTAACAACATCTACAGGATATATTGCGTACTGCTGTTTGAAAGCTATTGTTACAAGTGTTGTGTACAGTAATATTGTTTTGTGTTGGAAGCTTGTAATTTTCTGAACTAGAAAGATAGATATTAAACATCACACGTACTAAAATCGTATCCCTTGAAGATATTTTTATTAATTAAAAATATATAACTCATCACTAAAATAAATTTGACCATTTAATGATAGATTTTTTTTTATTACTTCGTTTTATACGAAAAAAACGTGTAATGGTATTTCATAAGATATTACATTTGTTGGATGCGGTGTTTTATTTTTCTAAAAAAGATGAGATTTGAGAAAAAGTTCTGCAGGCCGTATAATAACTTAAGGTGCCTTACAACGGAAAACGTAAAGAGGTGTGCACATTTGTACGTCTGTAATTTATCGGCAAGGCGAACAAAAGAGAAAACAGCTTGAAAAAAAAGTCGGTGACCGTTTATGTTTTTTTTCCTCTTACATTTTAATAAATGTTGAAATTTTGTGTGGATTCAAAGTGGGCGGTCAAAAAAATACTTGTATGGCAAGGACTTTGTTTAATTTCGTCTAAGAGACATGTTGATAATTTGTAAACCACCGAGTAATTAAACTAAAATAAAAGTAAAAATTCTGCTATAATTATGCTACAACACAGTGTATTTTTTGACTCATCACCAAAAGTAATAATTGTTTATATCTTGAACTCAACTCGACTAATGTGCTTACAGTTCTTTATGTTATAGTTTCAAATTTAAAACTATAGTTTAATACATTCTGAACGCGATACTGTTTTAATATTAAAGTCATCAACTCAAGACCACAACCGTTAATATGGAATAAATGCAATAAAAAAATTAAATTACACTAGATCACAAAAACTTGTATAATATTTATTTTGTTTCGAGGATTCTACCAACTATTAAATTTCATATATTTCATAATTCAATAGTTACATACAGTAGGGGAGAGGGCAGCCAGATCTCAGGAGCTCCCCAGACGCCGATATTTATACATTATATATTATGTAAAGGTAAGACTCTGATACGAATTCCAAGAACACTTTATTTTCAGGACCCCCCAGAAAAATGTAGAAAATCAGACACAGATTACATAATACAAAATAATGAATGTATTTTCTGTTATGAAAAATAAAAGTAGTGAATTTAGCAACTTTCTTAAAACTGTTTGGAAATAATAACTTTTCTGTATAATAGATGTGACAAGGAAAAGCTGAAGTCAATAATTGAATCAAGTCATAAAATTTGTAACTTAATTTAAAATAGAATAAACAATTATATAACGAAGTAATTTTTCTTTATAACGACTATTCGGATTGTTAAGTACCCTAATATTACATTATGATATCGGTTACTTCTGTTTAAAAAAATAATACGTTTAACAATACTCATTTAATAATATATTATCTTATTTTTTATGTTATTCAATACAACAATTGTTTGACCGTCTTATAAATAGTTAATCTAAGAATTCATCA